AACGTGCAAGCTCCTGGCGTTCACTGTCTGACGTCAGCATTAGGGCTGGGCTGCCAGCTTCCAGCAGCAAACGGGCAACCTCCAAGTGACCACTTTCAAACGCAAGCATAAGGGCTCTCCTGCCGAAATCGTCTGAGCGGTCTGTTGGAGCACCAGCTTCCAGCAGCAAACGTGCAACATCTACCTGGCCCCTTTCGGATGCGAGCATTAAAGCCGTCTTGCCGTCATCTTCTGTGCAATCTCTTGCAGCGCCAGCTTCCAGCAGCAATCGCACAACCTCCAAGTGACCGTTCTCACACGCCAGCATCAGGGCCGTCTTGTTATCATCGTCTGCGCTGTCCTTTGCAGCACCAGCTTCCAGCAGCAAACGTGCGACATCCACGTGACCACGATCGGACGCAAGCGCAAGAGCTGTCCGGCGGTGGACAATGTCCCAGCAGTCTGTGCGACTACCAGCCTCCAGCAGCAAACCGGCAACCTCTGAGTGACCACTCTCAGATGCAAGCATGAGGGGTGTCTTTCCAACACATCCGCGGCAGTTGGAATCAGCACCAGCTCCCAAAAGCAACCGTGCAACCTCCACGTGACCACACTCGCATGCGAGCAGGAGGGCCGTCTCCACATGTGGTTGGCGGTCTTTATCAGCGTCAGCCTCTAAAAGCAAACGTGCAATCTCCGTGTGACCATAGTGAGATGCGTTCATCAGAGCTGTCCAGCCGAAATCGTCGGAGCACTCTTTCTCTGCACCAGCTTCCAGCAGCAAGCGTGCAATATCCAAGTAACCAGCCACAGATGCTATCATTAACGCTGTCATGCCGTCCACGGCACGGATATCTTTCTCAACACCAGCAGCTAGCAAGCAACGGACCATTTTGTCACGGTTTCGTCGAGCAGCATCTAGCAGATCTATTTCAGCCCAGAGTGCAATCGTGTTTCCGTTGCTTGACATGCCGGGGATGGTCAGCAGCACCAACTGCAAATCCATGGGTCCACCTATTTTTGCGCCGTCACCCAAGACATTCCCATCTTGCAATAGCTGCTGCAGATAGACTGGGAAGCCACACAATTTGCACAAATGCTCCTTCAATGCCGCTGCATCCTTGAAATCCTCTGCACTACAGGCGGCCAGCTCTTGCCCAGAAGGTCTCCAGACACGAATCATTTTTTCAGGACGATGGTGAGTGACACTGCATCATATCACTTATCCATACTCCACGCTCAACAGAAACACAAGAACCTCGGATGAGAGTTGTTCGAGCCGTGCTTTCCGGGACACTTGAAACTTGAAACTTCCTGCATGGATTCGCAGCGCCTAGACTCCGCAGCAATCGTCTCACACCTGTCCAACTTAACGGGCTGTGCGCGACGCAGGCGAAACACAGTAATCCACAAACCGGCTGCTAAACTTGTCTACAATGGCCCCTATAGGCACTCAGGCCCAAGCGTCATGGCCCGAAGCGCTAAACCCTAAACGTCTAAACCTCGAAACCTTATTGCCAACCCTGCAAGCTCCATGAAATAAGGCTGGCCACGTCGACTTCCGCGAGCTCTCGCCTGCTGCGGCCTCATTCTCTGGCACGTCCCGAGTCCCAAATCCCGAATATGGAGGGTATGGTTTACAACGAGGTTTTGGGGCATGGGGTTGGGGGTTTCAGGGTTCAGGGGTTTCGGGTTTCACTGGCTCCGGGATCTGGGTCTGCGGTTCGTGAACATGAGCAGTTGAATCCAGTCAGTAGTCAGGAGCTACAATTTAAAGGGTTTACTCCAAGCCTGAACCCTAAACTTGTAAACCCTAAACTTCCTAAACCCTTGACCCTAAGCCCTAAACCCTCTAAACCCTAAACCCCTAAACCATAAACCCTAAGCCCTAAAGCCTTCAAAGCCTTTAGGGTCGGTATGGACAAGTTTGGGATGCCATGATCGGCCACGCCTTCATGCCCGACACCGGGCAATTTCGAAGCTGTAAGCAGCCATCTGCTCAGATGATTACCATAGTGTAAGTATTGTATGTATATTCACCTGAGTGGAGCGCTACCATCCTCGACAGAACATGTTTTCACCCACCAGCCTTTTTGCGTTCATGGATCCCGGATGCCGGGCGCCCTCGACTTAGCCTCAAAGCCTTAGACTTAGTACGAGTAGGATGCACGCAACTGGAAACACAAGCAGGACGAGTAGCACGTCAAATAGACCAAACAGGGTCAGAAGAAGTAGCAGCAGAAAACACCACAAAGAGAAGCAGAACCAGAAGCAGTAGCGCAATGTAGATCCCATGAGGAACCCGTAAAAGAACCCTCGTAGATCCCTTTAATATAAAGGGATATTGGAGTCCTGGGACATGGCAACCTCCGAGCTTCCGCAGCACTGGTTTTCAGGGCCCCGGGCAAAGCACACGGCGCCCAGAAGGAAGGGGACGCCCGTCGGTGGGTCGTCGGGCAAAGGTGGCCATAGCCTGCTTTTGGGAGGGCTCACGGGCGTAAGGAGCATTCAAACAATAGACCCCAAGGAAGCCCTGAACGACTGAATCTCGAAACAGCCGGAGGTATAGACTGTATGGGCTCGGAGCAACGAAAGCCCTGCGTCCCCAAGCCTCCAGACCCTGTTTGCTTTGAAGAAAGGCCGAGCCTTCGAGCAGGAAGCCCGAACTGTGCTAGGCAGCCTCACAGGCGCAGCAGTGTGCTGGACGAGAGCAAGGGTTGTTCGAGTTCTCTAAGATTCTATGAATGGCTCTGTGAGAGGTTTCGGGCTTTTTGCAGGGCTTTATTTGGTGTTTGTGTCTGGTGTCTGGCAGAGCAGCAGTGGCCGTCGTGTCGTCATCGTGGCTGTGAAGTAGTGCAAGCGCAGTTCACATTGCCGTCATGATTCAGGGGAGCTTGTACTAGTGCATATGACACAACGAGCGAAATAAGCCAAACAAAACCACTAAAGGCAATAAAGAGGAACACAAAATTACAATTCGGATGCACCGCTTTAGAACAGTACACAGTGACCGCCTCAACCAAAAAAGCAGGATTGTCCGGAAGGCTTGAGTATCTACTTTAACGCTTTAAAGTTTATCCTGGTTCTTCCCTCTTTATTTTCAATTTCCGAAGATTAGGAATCCCTGTGTTCCCTAGGCCTTGGATGTTCGAAGTAGACTAGCGTTAGTACAAGAGATGGGCATAAGGTTAGGGTTTACTATGGGGGGGGGGGGGGCGGCTCAAAGGCCGGAGAAAGTCGATACCTTGCAAGGACATCGGCAAGTTTTCAAGCAAGCACCATCTGAACCTTACTTTCAATTATATAACCTCCGGCCCGCACGACGACAATCGTGGTTATCTGTGATATTGTGGTAGGAGCTAGGGCTAGCTTTCAAGGTCCCGATTTGATGCCACACTGTGGATCTCAGCTAGGGTGCCTTTCACAGACCTGTAGAAGGCAAGGCCGTCGAGTTCGCGGCAATAGGCCAGCCTCTGCAGGAAGAGCTACAGAACTAGATTGTATTCAGGCAAACGGTTTAGGGATCCAAATTAGGGCTTGGGTATTAACTATACATTGATAAACGAAACCGCCAAAGGCCAGACACCTAGATAAGCATGATAGCGGATGGGGCAGCTTCATGTGTCAGATCGGAAAACCCGATATATGGGCAAGACTTGACTTCCCCAAATGAGTCGGCTCCCTGGGAGCTGCTCAAACAATTCTAGGACCCTTCCTGGTGCCACAAAGAGATCGGGAAGGCTTCTTGGGTTTAGGATGGTCTGTTGTGATGATCTCCGGCCCTGGTAGCTCGTCAACGGAAAGCACCCGAAATACACCAGCGTTGTGCTGTCATGCCAAAGCTTCAAGGCAAGATGCTGCAGAAACCGCCGCGCCCCATAGGGTGCCTCGGTTCCACTGACGGTGCTGCAAGGTGGGCCATGTGCTGTCTTCGTATCGCACAGCGATCTTCAAACTGTCTGGGGATTATATGCATAGGCCCCTCGCTACCAACTACAGTACTACTCACTGCACAACTTGCTGACAGTGCGCTCATCTACAGAAGATTGTGCATGCTTATCAACTGCCAAGTATTGCTACGGCATGGATTTGCGCTAATCACGTATGTATGTATGTATGTATGTTTATATATATATATATATATATATAATGTATACATAACAAATAAAACGTGTATATATATATATATATATACACATGTATACTCATGTCTATGTATACACAGATAGATGGATCCATGGGTGGATGGATGATGGATAGAAAGTGCTAATGTATCTGATGTAGAGCTTCGGCTCTTAGTATCACTGTAGTAGGGGCAGGTTGGAGTTTGATGTCGTTTGCATATGCAAGTTGCTTACAGGCTTAGCCCCGTCGTGGGGAAGAGCTATTGCACTACGGCCGTAGCCAGCTCCGCACGAGGCATCGCAAACTTCCCTGGTAGTGCCATCGTCGTTCCTGCTTGACCGCCTGTTTGTCACAGTGTAGCTCTATAGCACACAGGGGTAATTTTACAAGACCAGCATACACACGAAGAGGAACGCTCCACGCTGCAAAAAAGGCCAACAACTTCGTGGCAGCCTGAAGCCTCCAATAGGCTCTGAATATGTCTGAGCCTGGTGCCCAATCGGGGCGCACGATGATGTCAATGACGCCGACAGTGGTTTCCAAGCGCACCTAAAAGCAGACTAACTTCAAAGATTGTTCTGTAGAAACGGAGGGAAGCCGTCGAGGGAACAACCCCAAACCCTAAGCTAAACCCAGTAGAGCTCTTTCTGCATGCATCCAAAACAATGCGGCAAAAGCATCCTGAACCTCCAACTCTTCCTGGACGTCGAACATGTTTAAGTATGTGTGCATACATGCCTGTATGTATCTGTGTGTATAGGTATGTATGCATGTGTTTGCATGTATGCATGTATGTATGTATGTATCTATGTATGTATGTGTATTATACATGCATATGCATTCCATGTTACAACATTGTGTATCATGAAGAAGCATGAGATATCTGATTCCAAAAGTATAAATTGCAAAAGCTATACATGCATAACACACACACATATATATATATACATATATATATATATATAAGTGCATACACATGTATATGTATAATTGTACGCAGGGAAAGAAGCTTCTTGCTAAGAATTCTGCGGTATGCGCCACGGGCCCACTGGGGACAAGGGGCTCGAGATCGGCTTCCTTCATGCAGAGAGGGATGAGGCGGATGCCAAGCGACATGGGCGTGCTGCAATATCACAGTCCCTAAGGGTCCATGTACCCGAACAGTATATACTTTGGGCCCAATGTATTTCTATAGGGCTATAGGGACTACTTCAAGGCCAATGTATATACTATTTTACTGTTTGGGTACAGGGAGGATGTAAGTTTACGAAGAACTTGTAACTAGTCGGGTCTTGCGGTCTTGCGTACATAGACAGAGGCAGCGAGGATATGGGCGTTTATTGAGGATAGCACACCTCTTTGAAGCAGCCACAGGCCAGGCATAGCTGACGATCGCAAATGGCATCATGAAGCGAACCACTAGATCCAAACCCTGACACTATGCCTCACATTAACTAAGCAGAATATACCCTAAACTCTTAAGCCATACGCCCACGAAGCCACGGTCACTTCCCAACTGTCCTCTGGAAGGACAATGCCTGGAGGAACCTCGGAAGTGGATGCTGGAAATATAGGGGCCTTAATATAGTTACCTATACTATTATTAGGGTTCCTTTAAGGGATGTATAATGCTTAGGGTTTTGGAGAGGCCTTAATAATTGCCTATACTGTTTGGGGGTTCCTTATAATAAATATTATTACTATAGTATAATGGGCCCCAAAACCCTCCTCTAATTATTCGGGCCCCTACAGTAGAATGGCTTGGGGTAACGTCTACGTGGCCGAAGAGATCCAGGTGCAGAAACGGCTGCGAAATCCGGCAATCGCCAGCTGAGCAGCACACCGAGGTATCCTGTGGCAATCTTTTGAGATCTATTCATGGGTATTCTTCATGTCTACGACGTCTGTATCGAAGTCATACCTGGCTTGTTTCCATGTCTCCCGTGAGGCCAGCACCAAAGACGACGGTGCGGCCTGTGCCTTGCAACAATCAGGTGTTCGATTTTGCTGCTTTCAGCTGGTACTTTATTCTAGACCTAAGAGTAACCTAGGCATAAAAAGGGTGCCCTTTTTGGTTTAAAGGGGCTTATAAGGGAACCTGAACCCTTAAAAAGGGAATAAGGGCCTACTCTGGGTTCTAGTATTCAATTTAGCTGAAAACTCAACCCTGAAATCTCAACCACAGATGGAGGTCTTGAGCATGCCGAGTCGGGGTGTGTGGGCACAGGAATAACGCTTAAACAAGATGCTGAACTAAGGAGCCTCTCTGGCTACATCTTGAACTCTGCAACTCATAATCCCCAACCCACTTGCCAAAAATCACAAGCCGTGCCTCATCACCGAACACTGCGTTGGCAGCAGCCTGCAGGCAAACGTTGGGAGCTTCGTGTCTCCAATGTTGTTGAGCATTGCACTCTTCTAGGTTTCACAGTTCTGACTTTCGGAGCGATGTTGAGAGTACTGGCCAATGTTTGCGGTTCAGCCAGATCCAGCAAGAGCGATATCCAGAAAGATGCCAAGGACCGCACAACAGGAATTCTTTTGGTATGCCCTTGACCTTGAACCCTAATGTAGGAACCTGATTCAGAAATCTAGGGCCTTCTATCAATCCTACTGGTTTGGGGTTACAGGCCCAGGGTTTCTTAATCAGGTTCCTACAGTAGACTCTAGACTAACCCTAAACCCTAAACCCTAAACCCTCTAGACCTTATATATCCCTTGTAAACCCCCAAGCCCTGCACACCCCTCAGCCCGATATCCCCTGAGCCTTTAAGCCCTGTAAACCCCAGTAAACCCCAACACCCCTAAACCCGAAACAGCTAAACCCGAAATAGCCTAAGCCCTAGAAACCCAACAAGACGATAAAACTACTAAAACCAAAGACCTTGTAAGTCGAAGTCCTAAACCGCCGAAAACCCTAGACCCTGAACCCCAAACCCTAACCCCTAATCCCTGAACCCCAAACCCTAACCCCTAATCCCTGAACCCTAAACCCAAACCCCTAATCCCTGAACCCTAAACCCAAACCCCTAATCCCTGAACCCTAAACCCTGAACCCAAACCCCTAAACCCTAAACCCTAAACCCTGAGCCCAGCTTCGCCCCGCCCTGCTTCCGCCTGCTCCTCCTGTTTCAGCACAGACTCTTCAACCTGCGCTTTTGATGTTTTTCTTGCAGTACCTTAAGGGTTCCTTTGAGGGTTCCTGTAAGATGCAGGGGCCTTAATATTCAAAGGCATGTGTTGGTGTATATTAGAAAAGTTATAATTAATAAGGACCTCCATAATGAGCACAGGTTAAGGCCTCTATATTCATGTTGGGACCTGGCTGGTTGGACTAGGGCTTCGGGGTATACTGTATGGTATCGAATCAGGAGCCCGGAAGAACAACATCACAAAAGATGCCTACTCGCACATGATCCAGTGCCGGAAACCCCAAGCCAAACCCATGGCCGAAGCGGTAAGCCCTAAACCCCTAAACCCTAAACCCCTAAACCCTTAAGCCCTAAACCCGAAGCCCTAAACCATAAGCCCTAAACCCGAAGCCGTATAGCCTAAGCCCTAAACCCTAAGCCCTAAACCCTAAACCCTAGGCCCTGGCCCTTAAATCCAAACCCTCTAATCCTAAGCCCTCGGCCCTTGCCCTTAAACCCCAAGCCCCAACCCTTAAGCCCGAAGCCCTCCTAAACCTTCAGCCCTAACTAAACCCTAGATTCTAAACTCCTAATACTCCTAATCCCTAAACACTAAGCCCTAAACCTTCAACCCTAAGCCCTCAACCTCCCTGAGGCTGCACTGTAGCCAAGCCCGCCACCCACTCGTCTGTGCCGGCTATTTGGGTCAGAACCTCGGCCGAGGCTCAGGATTCGGGGTTTGGGTTTAATAGGCGAGCTTCGGAAATAAAGGTGCATTTTTAGAACGTTTTAGTGGTTATACTCTAAAACCTAAAACCCAAACCCTCAGAGATATAACCGTGATGCTAAACCCTCAACCCAAACAAACCAGTGAATCCTCTAAGCCCTGACTATGGGGCTCCCTAAGCCACCGAGCTCGCCACGAGGGTGTCACCGGGTCCCATCCCCTCTGGCACCCGAGCCTCTCGTAGTCTCAAGAAGCTGCAGAACGGGGGGTAAAGGTGTAGTGTAGGGTGTGATTTAAGGGAAACTTTGGGGGTAGGGATGTAGAGTTGTGTTAGGTACTTTAGGGTAATTTAGGGTTCAGGGTTTATAAGGGCAACAGATTCCGTCGGATCCTATCAGTGCTGCAATCCTGCGATCATCCCCGACATCACCACAGGATGAAGCTGGCGGCTACAGCAATGGCAATTAAAGGGCCTGGGTGCAAACTTCTTCTCGCGAGCCTTTCCCACCCCTTTGCTGCGGCAAGCTGACGATGCGGCCTTCACGTTCTCTGCTCGACCTTTCACCGGGATCGACAGCACCGATCCCGGTGCAGCGTTATCCGGGATGGTGATGGTCCTCAGTGCAGAGACGTACGGACTACGTCGTTTCGTCTGGCTGCTGTTCTGGCAGGTGTTGGTTCACTCATAATCCTGTGATGCCTGTGTATCGGACCTTCACGAACAACATCTCACAATGTTGAGCTCCCCGCCTTAAAGCCCCCGGCCGTGTACCCTGACCGTTTGGGGTGTCCTTGCCTCCGGTGGCCCTTGGCTCGAGGCGACCCGGAGCTTAGCTGTTTCTGGGGTGCTGGCAGCTGCATCGCTGAAGTCATGCTGCCCCTGAGCATGGTCTTACGAAGGGCACGGCTCTTGTCGAAAGGCAAGGTACAACTCCCTACAACTTCACTCCCTGTTACATGATCTGGTCCGGTTGAGGAAAGGATGAGAACTATCAAGCAAACTCTTCGAGGAGTCGCTGCCCCTGGAATATTCGACCAAACAAAGTTCAAACTCATTTTCACATGTTTGTCCTTTGCTGTGATAGTCCCAAATCGGAGGTCTGGTACGACCCAACCCTGCAACCCAACCTGTGAACCCCTGACCCCTCCCGCAGACAGCCGCCTGCTATATTATGATCCTGCCCAGGGCCATGTGCAGAAATATCTTGAATCTATAAGTGGCTCAAAGTTCTGGTTAGCTGATCGGGTTGCGGGTACGTTCTGCTTGTGGCAGGGCTCGCTCAGTGTTTGGACCTCATTACCTCTAGAATCGACCTCCGCTTGCGAAAAGAAAGGCCCGAAAGCTAGAGCAGCTAGAGTTAGTCATGTTGGTGGGTTGCGGGACGTGTTTATCATGTTTGGTGGTAGAGTAGACTCAACTATCTTTTCTGCAACGGTGCCTACACCACATCCTCCCATTGGCCCCAGCTTCAAGAGTGCGTTGTGCTCCTCATGTTGCTTCTCAGCTCTATGCAAAACGGAAGCTTGAGCAGATATGGATGGCAGGCGTGAGACGGCCAGAAACACGTTTAGGGTTTAGGGTTTAGGGCCCCCAAATGGCCAAAGTGAACTCTCTCTCCCCCGCTCTGCAGGCCCTACTTCTCAGCTGACGGTGAGTTGAGGCAATGAGTCAAATACACCTTGATACATCAAAGTGCGTGGGTATGGTTTGTTAGTCTTCTTCTGCTTCTTCTTTTTATTCCTATTCTCATTCATATTCTTGGGATTCGTAGCAGTTCTCAGTCAATTTACCTATTTACTTGTTACTATCATCACTCTTAGTTTCTTGTTCTTCTTGATACTTCTCTATAGAGCTTTTGTCTTGCGGGGTCCTATGCGAAGTGCAGCGAAGGGACGCAACACGAACCAGTGCTGTGTGCTCAAGAGGATGGCAGCAGCAGCAGACAATTTTAGGCGTACAAACTACAGATTGAACATTACTATAGTGTATGTTAAATGTAGAGTTTCCAACAGTTAATTCTTAATAGTAATTTTAAACTACGATACTGTAAAATGTAAAATGTAGGCTTTGGAACAGTTAATAGTAGGAATTATCGCTGTGATTTGGGAATGTCTCCCTCATAGGTACTTCGGACCGTTTGAGAATTTAATGTACCAAGAAGTCCAAAACGTTATTAGGAACATGCAGAGATCATGACCTGATATATACTATTTTCGCAAGGCCTGGGGCTACAGGCAAGCCCTCATCGAATGCCATGAGCTGCAATTTATCTGCGGCAGTTGGCCACGGTCATTGTTTAGTGAGGCCAGCCAGGCCAATGTAATTTGCCCAGATTTGCATATCGCCGAGTCTGCGTGGGGCAGCAATGGTTCAACCAGCCCCCTAAACCCTAAACCCTAAACCGGGTCCCGTGTTGTTCATAAAGGTAATTATAGCGGAAACCGGTCGAAGCGGCGCACCGAACCTGCGATCTTCCACGTGAATGCCTCGCATCTTGCACGTAGGTGCGCTAGCATTCTTCCCAGTTCAGAACTCCCTGCAAAAACACCTTCACTCTCAAAAAACCCTAAACCCTAATCTCTGTAAACCCTAGAAGTCCTATGCACCCTACAAGCCCTAGAAACCCTAAACCTTATGAACCCCATGAGCCCTAGAAGCCCTGAGACCTGCGACCAGACCGCGGCTGAAAACCTGCGTCTCTTCTGAACTGTCTGCTCTTGATGCCGTGGGACTATCTTGCGTAGCCCGTCCGGGGTTTAGGGTTAGGATTTGTTGTGGTTTAGGGCTTATACATCCCCATCCAGTTTATCTGCAACATCCATTTCATCTTGCTTGACTTTGGTGTTTTCCTGAATCGTTCAGGTTGCTTGAAGTTTGCGCTGCCCCCCCGGAGGATGTTTGGTTTAAGGCCTAGGGCATCGCGCAAGAACATTGAGAACATTGGGTCGGTGCGAAACTTGCTTGAAATACTTAGTCTTAGCGAGTTTTTTGCTCACGATGATTCTTGTTGCTACTAGCAGTACGCGCAGTGGTGTGTTTTCGTATGTAGAAGACTATACTTCGTACTAGGATCATCGCAGATCACCAGAGAGTTTCCGTGCCAATCCGTGTGACAGCCTAGAGGCCATGCAAGCAAGCAATCTGCTGGAATGATCGCTAAAGCAACCGTACCCCACCTAATTAGTAGTGAGTCATGCGAGCTTTTTCACGACATTACTACCTAACCATGCAACATCCTGAAAAGAAGGAGACACCAACTAGAAGGCTTTTTTTTGCGGAAGCGGCACCTTGGCCATGCCATAGTTGGAGAGACCGAACCATCTGCAAGGACGGGGGTCTCCTCTTAGTGAAACTGCTTCGAGTCGTTCGGGAAGAGTGCAGGCCCATGGGTCCCCGGCGAAGATTTAAATGATACATAGACAGGTTTGTCAATAAGATTTAGTTAAGGGATCCTGATGAAAGCGCTTGAATGACACATAGTAGATTTCCGAATAAGACTTCGAGTTGAGGTATGCTGATGAAAGCGCTTTCATGATACATAGCAGGTTTCTCCGATCTTTACCAATAGGATCTAGATTTCGGGTAGGTAAGGGAGTTCGGAAGATCTCGGAAGATAAGTAGACCTTTGGGATATCTTAATTTGCGAAGGTACAGATCGTAACTTTGGCAATCTCGCCTAGAGCACTGGAGCCCGTAGAGCAGGAGAAAGGTCCAAAACCCTGGAACTTCAAGGCTCAGGTTTTTTATTTTTTTTGTTATGGGCCCTTTTCGAACTGCAGAACAGTTAGAATTCCTGTACAAGGCTCAGGGTTTAGGGTTTAGGATTTGAGGCCCTTTTTAAACCAGAAACCCTTTAGTGAACTACCCCTCAGCCCCGCGCAATCCTTAATTTAGGGCGCGGCCTCTGTCTCATGAACAGAAACAGCAAAGCTAGCTGTGGAAAGCGATTCGTCGAGGCGGGCATCCGAGAACCCTCCTTATTCATTTCAATATGGTTTTGGGGGATAGTACATTATAGCTCTACAGGAACCCTACGGAAGAGTATTACCGATTATGCCAACACCTTCATTCGTCCCCGAAAGCTTGGGCACAAGATTCCGGGTAACGAAAGCACCGGAAGTGGAACCAAATGAGAAGTTCACTGCGCATGATCGAAGAATTATACTAGGTAGCAGAAACCGCAATCAAGACTGCCATCGCATGACGAGTACATGCGACACCTCTGTATCTGCCACGATATGTGGGTCTGTTCAAAGACACAGGGGCTTCGAAATGGTTGGAATCATGTAGCTTCTTCTACCGCAGGGCCTGCTCTTTCCTGTTCCCCCAGTGAGCACGGGCTGCGAGAAGAGCAGCCCGGGCCCTCTACGACTCAGGCATCTTCACACCACCGATTCTCCTGCAGGGACTGGAGCTGTTCGGGGATCTGATGGGCTTGGTTTGGGTTTCTCGGGACCAGGGTGACTCAACTCTGGGCTTTTGGGATTTTTCTAGGAGTAGAGCTGTATGTTGTCTGCCGCGAAAGCCTGCCTTCAACATAGTTGCACATCAGCCACATTATTCTTCTACGAATTAGTAGGTTGCCTGAAGCCCAGCACTGCAAAATGTGATGAGAATTTCAAAAGCAGTGCTTAGTCATACAAAGCAAAACGCTTTATGGCAAGAGACCGACCAACTAACGCGACACAAACGAGCCAGTACAGTCCCATAACTCGGAACCCTCCATCCTCCACCTAACACCCTCTAGATTCGAAGCTCTAGACCCCCCTGGCACCCAACAAAAGATAGGGCCTTATAATGATTGGCAAAGGGTTTTGGGGCCCATTATATTGGAATTATGATAAGGAACCCCAGAAATGTATTGGTAATGCTTTACGCCCCCACCCCCGTTATTTTTCCATCCACCAGCAACCTCTCAAACCCCCTTTTCGGTGCCTCCCTGGCTTAGGGATATTAGGGTTTAGGGACTCTGTGTCTTAGGGTTAAGGGTTTAGGGACTCCCGGTGCCTCGCGAACTTGCGCCTCCTCCTCTGGTGTGAAGTCGTTGACGATGTTAAACCTTTCGATCTCTTCGGGGTCTTTAGCGCCGGCAGCCGGTTTAAGGTTTAGCGTTTAGGGGTTTAGGGTTTAGGGGTTTGGGGTTTAGGGGTTTGGGGTTTAGGGTTTAAGAGATTAGGGTATAAGGGTGTAGGGTTCAGGGGTTTAGGGTTTAGGCTTTAAGATTTAGGGTCTCTTGTCGGGAGAGAGGGGATCGCAGGACAAGTATCTCCTGGACATGTCAAGCTAAATACATACCAGCCCTTCTGATCCTTAATCCACTGGTTTCCCTGTAACCCTGAAACAGAAAAGGTGAACCCTACCAAAACCTGGCAGCAAAAGAACCGTAACCTCTCTAAGCTAATAAACCCTAAGTTCCCTGAAGCCCCGGATTCCCTAAAAGCCTAAAATCCCTAGACACTCAAAATATCAGAAAAACCCAGACCAAGTTTCTCTGAAACCTTAGACTCTAAATTCGAGAAAAACCCTTAAAATCTCAGGCAACTCAGTGCACTGCTGCTTTCGGATCTCCTCTGTATTCTTTCCTTTGATCATAGAGGCGACCTCTCAGAGCGCTGCAATCGGGTCCTGTTAGAGCCTGGGGGTCTCATGTGGGGCCATCTCAGGCTCTCGGTGTAGGGTTTAAGTTTAGGGTTTAGGGTTTAGGGTTTAGGGTTTAGGGTTTAAGGTTGAGGGATCTTGCCGACATTTTCAGGTGTGCGGCCTTTGTTGAAGTGCGCCTTCAGCTGAGAATTAGACTGCATGCAAGAAGCACCCAGGGCTCAGATTCATGCGGGAAGGCACGCTGATGGAAGCATTTCTCAACAACAAACCATGGTCCCAAACTTTTTGAGAGACCGTAATTTGGAGCAAATTCCGAAAGAAGCAAGCCCGTTGCTGTCTGCCTTGGCACATGTGAGGTCCAGGAGGCTTTTGATGTCCAGGTAGTTCGCAGCAAGGATTAGCTCAAAAAGGACCTGGCTCACCGGGGCTGCATTGCATGGACATGCGATTGCTACACAGACCGCTGCGGGGTCGTGCGGCAGTCTACACTCTAGGCCAAGGGATGCCAAGGACCCAGGCAGCAAGCAGCTGAGGCTGCAATCAGCCGTGAACATTCCGCTTCAGAAGGACCCTAGTTAAACCCCATATTATAAACCCTAATTAAAGCCGAAACCGTCAACCCTGAAACCTAAGCAACAGCCCACATTCTCAATTTCCAGACCTCCCCTCCCTCCCACGACTTGCCATGAGCCTCCTGCTCGATATTCACGTACCTGTCTGAGCATTTCCGAGGTTTAGGGGCCAGGCTTCTGGGGTTTCAGATTCATAAACCGCTGGACCCCCCCCAATTACCCTTTAATATATACCCCACATACCCACTATTAAGGGCCAGACGGGCTCTATTGCAGGGCACTTGGGGGGTCCTGGTAGGGTTGAGGGTTCAACGTTAGGGCTTTCAAGGTTCCAACTTTGGGCTTCGGGTTTCGGATTGTCGGAATGAAGGCCATGGGATTTAGGGATTCAGGCTAGTTTCAGGGTTTAGGATGAAAGCCAATTGGGTAGTTGCTTCGTTTCATGTTTAGTTTGTCGGGTTTCGGAAGTAGGGTGAGATCATTCAGTTACAAACGATGCACGTGAGCGATCGGCGATGTCGCAACAGCTTTTGCTTCCGATAATGTCTTAAGTTTTTGAGAGTTAAAGCTCGTTCGTCCTTGCCGCAGTGGTCACTAGAGCAGCTGACCTGACATTCGGTAATCACCGCCAACTTCGCCAGCACCTTCACCGTCAGCTGCATCATTACCATCTTTCGTATATCCGGATGCTGCACATGATGATGGCCACGGCGGCAGTGGCAGGCGGCAAGCATGATGTTCATCAAGACGAGCAAAGGGACCACTAGACGAAGAACCCCAAGGACCATGACGACTAAGACGACTGGGGTCTGAGAAAGAGGATGATGCAGATGGACCTGATACTGATAGTGGTGATGATGAAGAAGACGAAGCCGAAGATGAGGATCAAGATGGTCCCATGCTGCAGGTTTGATGCGCACTGGCAGACATCACCTGCTGTACAGGAGACTCAACACCTCAGTCCTCAAATCTCCTTTCCTGTCATTGGCAACAATCCGCAGCTGCTCCGCTTCTGCGTCAAGTTCGCTTCAGATCGTCGTCAGCCAGCCATAGCTACCATAGCATCGTCACTGGCCAGTTCAGCTCCCTGATCACACCCGATTTGGCTACGTGACCGTCCATCAGCAGTGTGATCATAAGGGACACCCTCACGTCTGACGCCGCGGCTTGCCCAACGAGCACACTACCATGCAAGGTTGCGGGCCCAACACTGTAGCAGGGAGGAGGGTGTGGGTAGACCGCCGACTAAAGCAAAAAAGGTGGAGGGTGGGAGGGGTGGACGGTGGAGGGAGGGCTGCATACTCGGAGGCAAACTTCAGCTGCTGTACAGGAGACGGTTGAAAGAACCTCCGCCGACGAAGCGCGCAGGGCCTCAATAGCCGTGCGCTATAGTCCCTTGAGACTCCGGTGGAGGGTCTGACACGAGCCCTGCAAACAGTTGCCTCGCCTAGCACGTGTTGCAAACTCACAGGGGCAAGATGGCGGGATCGGTTGATACATGAAGCTGCGGCTAGCGGCAGGTAGAATGCATGCCCGCACCTCTCAAAAAGAATTGCAGTGTCAACACCAAGCAAAGCGCCAAGAGCTGTGGAATTGCGCTTGCAAGATTGGCGGCGCTGCCTACTGCCACAAATCACCACTTCAAAACACATTCATAGTTTCAGAACGGAGGGGCACTCGTTGTCCCACTCCGAAACACCACATTCCACGAGGTTCGTGCCTGCATCAGCTTGGTATAGTGGCTATGGTGATTACGGAGTCACATGACGTACGATAAGACATACAGGGATGGGTAGCTCGAGATTAGAAATGGGAACATGAGTCTGCATCATGTGATCACGCTGACACAACAAAACAGCGGGCAACTCAGCTAATGCAGTTCTGGCGCACACACACTTTTCCGAAGGCTCTACAGAACTTCCAAACTGTTCCTTCCAATATCTGTGCTATCTGCCAGTCTTGCTTTTGTCGCTACTAGCTACTTGGCCGTATTACCTGAATATGGGTACTGGCATGACTATGGCTTGGCTTGCCCCTTGTCTGTATGCAGTCGCTTCACCGGAGCACACCAAAGCTGTGCTGTGTAAGCTTCACACTCTTCAAGGGCTTCTGAATCTCCTCAGGCGGATTGTCCTTGTGATACCTGCAGCATGGCGGATGTTTACGAAACGAGAAGTTGACAATCACGCTGTACCGGAACGCAAATCTGTACCTTCGTGCCTTGAAATACCGTGAAGAATTCCGACATATCTCATAGGAACTCATGGTTCTAGACACTACTGGGCTGCATCTGCGCGCAAGCACAAAACGTCTATCCTAGGACAAACCATCACTCCAGCCTGAACCCTGGTGACATCTCTCTCGCTCTCTCGCTCTCTGGCATATTCTCCTCCGGATTGTCTCTGTATGTCTGATCTGGGCACACTCTTCTTCGTCATCCAAGCAGAGTGGACCATGCAAGTGAGGGCACCCATCTGACTGCCTGGAATCTCCCCAAGAAACAGGTCCGACTCGGGTCTCTCTCTTCTCCGGGCGGCCTGCAGTAGTCGATGACCTGACGTGTGCCAAGAGAAAAATGGACTGCTAAGAAGGACCTGCAGTTCAACAGCAAGTGCCATTGACAGGTACACTTCCGGGAAAGGTTATCGCATTGATTTTTAGGGTGAGAAGCGGACATTTCCACAAATTATGCAGACCCCATGCTACTCAAGTTAAAGCGGCCTACAAACGAACGACCTCTTGTCAGCCTCGGTGCGGATTTTCTGCTGCTTCGTCGACGGCAAGTGTCGGATCCCTTCCTGGACTGCCTGTAACTAGCTGCCCGGAAGCTATATTTTGCGTCGAGCTGCGTCAGCGGCCTTCTTTACATTGAGGCATGCATAGGGACTAAACTTACTTTCCAAACCTCGTTCATCATTAGCCAACTTGTAAGGCTTTGTGCAGGTACTGCAGTCTGTTGGTTTGCGGATTGAGCTTGCTGCATTCCATCTGTATCGTGCTTCGTGGCGGCATCCCTACCAGTTCTGTCAACAAAAACCGGCCCCAAGCACTGCTTCGCATTTTGAAAGCACCTCTGCTCAACAACAACACGTCGCGGTTCCTAGGCTCAAGGCCCTGCATAGCCCGTATTCGCAGAATTGGACTGATCAGTTTTAGGGACACATGCCGGGTCCATAAAGTCATAAAGAGTCCAATTCCAAAGACAAGGCCTGATCAACGCCTCAGGACTTCATGTACTCTCCCAATAGCCGTCATCCCGCCTTACTAAGAATGGCGGTCTTCACATTCGGCAGAGGGATCTCTTCGTCGGTGCCACTGTCCTCCACCATGTTCCTGGGCATCACATGAGGAGGGCACGCGGCTCGACAGGCATGGAGTCGTGGGGGCGGGGGCCTCGGTGAGTGGAGAGCCAGCAGGACTCTACATGGCACATAGAAATATGGAACCCCGAATCCTAAGTTCATGAAACATGAGCATCAAATTAAGTTTTGATACTGGCGGGTCCCTGCGTTGCGGATCCCCAAAACTGCCGATTTCATTACAGTTTGCAGCGCAAAAGCTTGAAATTCAGGCCTCATAGCCTACTATTTTGCAGGGTTTGGGGCTGCGTACAGGTAGACCGTAGACCCCAAAGGCGATCCCGGGTCACTTCGCAAACAGAAGCGAATTGAAAGTCAAGATGCACCACTCCAGCTGCTCTAAGCAGCACGACGGATAAGGAACACCAAACTCCAGATCCTGAACCTTTTAAGCCCTAAAGTCTGCACCCGGAACCCTCCTTGGAGGGTCGGGGGACTTAGTAAGTAGGTAGTAAGTAGACTTATAAGTACCCTAAAAGGGATCCTAAGTGGGGTTATGATACTTATAAGTCCCTAAAATAACCAGTTACTGATTCCCCCGACCCTCCAAGTATGAACCTTAGACCCGAAACTCCCAGTCATTAATCCTAAGCTCGGACCCTAAAGCCGCAAGCCCAACCCTAAACCCTAAACCCTAAGCGGTTCCTGCGAGGTACGCACCTCATCGTCTGGGAGTCGCCGGAGTGTTGGGCGGAGATCCAGCAACTCTTGAAGGCTCAGGCTCAGGTTGCACTGCACGTAGCCAGAAGGACAATATCAGTTTGCAACTTATCAGACGAGTCAGACCGCTAAAACTCTTCAACATTCCAGTTGATCGGACCGTATGGCCAGTATCAGCAGCAACAAGAAAATTTTGTGAAGTTATGTACAGCAAGACTGCCTTGTGTTGCGTTGAGCCTGTGCGGTGGATAAAGTAGTGCTCCAAATTGCCACATGGTCATGAGCCCAAGCTACGCTCTGTGAGTGATGGAGAATCCAAACGAGTCAGATGTTCCGAGTGGCCTGGATCGGCCATCTCCGGAGGAGCAGTTGTTGAGTGGTGCTGGGACGGCGAGTCAGGCATTTGAGCCCGATTATCGTCTGCCTGGAGAAATGGGACTAGATGCAGAAGCGAGGGAGCTACTGAATGAAGAACGTTCAGAGGGGTCGGATGAAACAGCGAGGCAATCAGCTAGCTCGCGTGATCCGGCTGATGTGGGTTCTCTTGCGGGGCCGGTGGTAGCTCGAGTGGGAGAAGCGGGTCCAACGTCTGCGCCCGCTCGTATGCCATCTAGCAGTGGGGGTATGCGCATGGAAGTGGACGATGTAGAGCTGATTCCGGATTATTCGCAGCTTCCGGAGTTCCTTCTTCCTGGACTGGTCGTGTAGCGCCGTCTCATGAGGCCACGGGCAGTGGGTCAGGTCCTTTGGATTCGCTGTCTGGCATGCTTCAGGGCTTGTTGGCCGAACAGTTGGCACCGGTGATTCAGAACCAGAGACTGCTTGCAGAAAGGTTGGAGCGGATCGAAAGTTCCAGGGGATCAATGTCTCAAGACTCGGTGAGAGCAGAGCCACGACTTACTGCTGCGCCGCCTGGAATTTTTCCCTCGGACGCTGGATTGGGCAGTGGTGTCATGGGTGCTTGTAGTGGTGCAATGGGCTTTGGGACAGCAGCCTCAGGATTTGGAGGAGGACTGTCATCAGAAATGGTGGCCGAACTGAATCGGCAGCAGTTCCTAACGCCGTGGTGGCAGTTCCCTGCGCAATGTCCACCCCCTCGCTTGCCTGAGCATCTGAGGCAATCAAATCCGATCGGCAGTACCGGCAGGGCTGACGTGGGTGTAGCGACTTTGGGTGCGGAAGGGGGCATGGGTGCGGGTGGGATTGAGGGGCCGTCACTCGCTGGGCAGGGTAGAACCGCGGAAGCAACTCCAAGACGTGGCGCGGCTGTGCCAGCGGAGAGTGGGAGAGCTAGTCAGTGTGAGGGAGTAGGTGCTTTGTCTCAAGGGGTTTCCGGTCCAATGAACGCTGTGTTGGTCTCTGAGGCCAGAACACCCCAGCTGGGAGGGCAGAGTGCTCCAAGCTCACTCGTACACGTATGTAGTCCAAAGGCCAAATCCCCTTTCAAGCCAGTGTTGCACGAGGGTCCTGCAAGTCATCATGTCGTAGGAAATGCAGAACTCCCGGCCTTGGAGCCGCAGCATGCGCAGATCCGTGTGAGCGAACCTGTCCCTCAGAGGGCCTCGTGTGATGAAACAGGCGGTGGGGAAGCTCGGCCTTTAGGATCCTTGGAAGCCCAGGCTCACAGAGGCCCGGCTCGTTCCATTGTGGGTGGTGCTCTAGAGTATTCCCATAGTCAAGCTGCTACGCCAAATGTCGGCGAAAGCGGGTGTTTGACTTCGGGACAAGGTCGTCCAAGCACGAGTCCGGTACGGGGATCGTCTGTCCAAGGAGGGATGCGCTCTATGTCTCACCGCGGGTACCCGATCTCACCAGGCGGAACGGAGATCCTGCCTCCGCCTCTTCCTCCTACTACGCCACCTCGTCCAGGGGGGCTTGCTACTGCTGCCGTTGGGGCAAGGCAGAGCCCAGGAGGAAGTAAGTCTCCTAAACAGAGGGTTGGTGAGGGGTTGGAATGGTTGAAAAGTGTGCTTGGCTTGTCGGGCTCTTCCACTGAGGTCAGTGAGCGCGCTGAGGATGTCAGGGTGTCAGTTTCAGAGTTGCCAAAGCTGGAAATCAAGGAACATGAAAGGGACTTGGCTCCTCTTCTGTCGGGGGATTGGTTGGCGATGATTAGCCCTGCCATGAAGGATATTTCGTCCACGAGCAGCATATGGTGGTCCCAGGTTGTGGATGCAGCAACCTCTTACTATCAGCACTGGTTGATGTGTGACCCAGTAGCTCGGCTTTCATTGCAACCTTCGCAACCATATCGTTTTGAACACACCAAGTATGCACGTGTTGAGCAGAGAGCTTTGACGATGCTGTTGCGTGCCGTGCCTACAGTAATCAAGGAAGAGTTGGTTGCAAATCGGAAGTTGTCCTGCATCGAGCTCTTAGCCTTGGTTCACACAACCTACCAACCAGGTGGGCTGAAGGAACGGTCTGCGTTGTTGCGCTATCTCACGAACCCTGACGGTTGCACGGAACCAGTAGCCGCACTTCGCAGCATTAAACGGTGGTCACGGTGGAAGCACAGAGCAGCAGAACTGCACATCTCTACTCCTGATCCTACCTTACTGTTAGGAGGTGTGGACATGATGGTGTCCAAGGCGTTGGCGTTGTACCCGGAATCACAATTTAGGATTTCGTCCTACCGATTCGCGAAGAGCATAGATCACCAGCCTACTGAGGCCAAGGTTGTGGAGTTGGTGAGGTTCGTTCAGGGTGAACTTGAGACCTTGGTGGCTTCAGGTACAGTTCGATCTAAGACGAAGCCGGACGGGGATGCAGATGCCGGTAAGCGTTTGAGGATTGCGAAGGTTGAGGACAACGATGCCAAGGGGAAGGGTAAATCTAGAGATGATGCTCCGAAGGGCGCTGAGGGCAAGGGTAAGGCGATTTGCAAACATTGGAGAACCGACAAGGGTTGCAGGTTCGCTAAGGCCTGTAAGTTTGCTCATGAGCCATTGCACCCTTCCGAGAAGCGTTGCTTTGCTTGCTCAGCGCTCAATCATATGCGATCGGAATGCCCTTATGAGCCTAAGGACGGACGTGCTTCAGAGAATCCGAAAGGAAAAGGAAAGGGAGGTGAAACGGTAGCAAAGGCTAGCGCTCAGGCCTCGGCTCCTGCTTCCAACAATCCCATGCCACCTAGTCAGTCCTCTAGCCAGGCCCCCGCCACGGACTCTGAAGACATTCTCAAGAAAGCCGCAGCCATGATTGAGACCCTGCAGACCTCCATAAAAACTGTAGGTGACGGCTACGGAGGTAGGCCAGGTAGCAATGAGCCCACGGGCCTGATAGACTCAGGTGCGTCTGCTTGTATGCGCGCCAAGGTAGATGGAGATGTCGTTGTTGGGGTTCGGGTGGTGTCGCTTGCTCAGGGTGAGGCCGAAGTTGAGGTCAATCAGGCGGGTACGCTGTTGACATCACAACAGATTGAACCGATAGTCTCGGCCAGACACTTAATCAAGTGCGGTTTCAAGATCACTTGGTCCCGGAGGGCATTCTTGCTCCTTGATCCTCAAGGTGTTGCTGTCCCTGCGGTCATCCAAGCTGGTTGCCCCCGGGTCACGCGTTCGGTTGCGCTAGCTCTCGTTGATTTCATTGAGAAAACATCCTTATAGAGGAAGGGGCAGCTGTTGCAGAATCGGTGAGGGTTGCTCGAGCTTCGTGTGCCGATCAGACTGCCGCTTGGACGATAGGAATGGAGAAGCTAAGGGATGGTTGTCAGGAGGGTGATCTAGTCAAGGCTCAAGCGTGGCATCGGATTACGCTGCAGTCACTGTTTCCTGAGGTTCCCGGTGATTTGGTTGATAGCACTTCCTGGTTGGTTCCTTCAGAAGGGGTTAAAGGGGTGTTGAATCGCCGAAGGAGAAGATCAGTTGAACAATCTCAGGGGGTGATCCTTCACCTGTTCTGTGGGAGTGCTCGAAGGGCGTTTGACTCAGTGGCCAGTAGATTCGGGCTGAGCGTCTTGCCGATAGACGTTGAGGAAGACCTGTTGAATCCTGCCGTGTACTCCTACATCTTATCACTCGCGTTGTCCGGTAGGTTGGTGGCGGTGTTGTCAGGACTTCCGTGTCGTACACGAAGTGTGATGCGAGGTCATGGGAGTGGTCCTCCCGTGGTGAGGTCAAGGGAAGGTGAGGGCAGATGGGGACTTCCTGAACTTCCGCAAGCAGAGTTAGACAAGGTCCAGGCTGACGATGAATTGTGGATCAAGCAGCTATTTGTGAGTATGGCCGCACAGTGGGGTCTGAATCAGACTAGTGAGGGTTTGAGGTTGGGGTATGTCCTTGAGAATCCCAGGGATCCCTATGAGCTCCTTGGGAAGGCGTTCTCCGCGAGTCCTTCTCTTTGGGTCACGCCAGAATACCTCAAACTGCAAGACGCCCTAAACCTCACACAATTCCATGTTGACCAGGGTGCCTTAGGTCATGAGCGTCGCAAGCCAACTACTATCGCCTCAACTTTTGAAGATTGGCCTGAGTGGTGTAGGATGGTAAAGGGAGGAGGTTTCGGTTCAGGCGGAAAGAAGGTTGGTGACAGCGCGTTGTGGGCGAAGTGGGCACCTGGGTTGATTGAGGCTGTTGAGCAGTATTTGGCTTCGATTGCTACCAAGTTTCGCCAGCAGGCTGCAAGGGAGACCGTGAAGGCTGCCAGGGCTAGACTCTCCAAACAAACTGTGACACAAACGCTTCAGGATCATGTAGCCGCGGGGCATATCCCCTACAACAAGGCCTGTTGGAGTTGTCTTATGGGTCGCCTTAAGCAGCCTCCCCACTTTCGCCAGCCAATCACTGACTCGTATGTCTTGTCTGTTGATTTGTCTGGTCCGTTTGCTGAAGGCGTACATGAAGGTGTCAGGGCTAGGTATTTCTTGGCTGCCAATCTGTCAGTCCCGTTTGATGTGCATGTTGCTGGGAGTGAGAAGCCGGTAGCCGACGAACCCGATGAGCCTGCACCAAGTGCAAGTGAAGAGCCAGCGGAGTGGGAACAAGCTGGTGATTACGAGGAGCTTGACGCGGAGCACAAACAGGTTGGTGAGCTACTTCCAGAGGAAGGGGTTGACAAGGACAACTACCTGAGCAAGGTTCAGATGGTAAACGTTCCTTTCGGGATTCCGTTGAAGAACAAAGGGGCTCAGGAGGTCTTGAGGGCACTGAAGCTCATTGATGCTCGCGCGTCTTGTCTCGGGATAAAAATCGCTCGCCTTCACTCGGACAAGGGCGCTGAATTTGACAACCGCTTTGTTCGGGACTGGGCGGCGTCAAGGGGGATTTGGAAGTCTTCGACTGGGGGAGACAATTGGCGATCGAATGGCACTGCAGAAGCCTTAGTCGGCATTCTCAAGGACTCTGTTCGAGTTCTCTTGCGGGATGCAGGGCTTGGCCCACGGGACTGGCCTTACGCTTTGAGGCACGCAGCAGGGAGGTTGTTTCAGTCCAGGGTTAAAGCGCTGGGTTGGGATCTTCCACCTCTGGTTCCTTTTGGGGCAAAGGTGTTTGTTCATCGCCGAACCTGGCATTTGAAGAAGGATGCTGACAAGGAATGGGCTGCCAAGGCTGTTGAGGCTAGAGTTCTTGCGCCAGCATTCGAGGTTGATGGCGGGTATCTTGTCCGAACAGTCAAGGATGAACTGTACAATACCAGCTGTGTGTACGAAAACGTTGAATACCTTGATCCAGCTCGGTTTGTCATCCCTGAGGATAAGGCTACGGAAGCGGTTCCTCTCAAGTCCTCCACCCGCCGTAGGTACAGGGCCAAGACTACAGTTGCTAGTGTTCATGAAGATCCCGAAAGCCTCAAGGCTCAAAAGCTTGTTGACACCAAGCCCTTCCCGTTGCAAGCTGCAGTCAATTTTCTCTTGAGTTCATCGTGGATTCAAACGCGCCAAGCCAAACAACGGAAGTTGATGCATGAGTCTTCAGGCACTTGTAAGGTAGTGGGTTTCTTTCAGCATGGGGGCGTGACCGGCATCACGACTTCGGCAAAGCGCAGTCCGGGATTTGCTAGGCTCTTGAATTGCATTCTTCGCGAGGTTGCCCCGAAAGAGTCTTGGACCACGGTAGCAGTCCTGAATCAGGTTGAGTCGCCCCCTCACAAAGATAGGTACAATGAAGATTCCCCAAACTTGGTGCTCCCGCTTGCTGTGCCGCCCTCTGGGGGTGGAATCTGGGCAGAGTGCCCTGACGGTGACGACGTGAGGGTTGTAGGATCTGGTAAGTCCTGTAAAGGTAAGGTTTTTTCCCTGAGCTCTCTGACCCCGTTTAGGTTTGATCCGCATGTGTGGCATGCTTCAGAAAGTTGGAGTGAAGGTCGCCGTGTGTTGTTGGTCGCGTATAACCTAAAAGGGTATAGCAAGGCCATGCCTGAGCAAGTTCAGTTTTTAAGTCAACTAGGTTTTCCTGTAGGTGCAAGTGAGTCCGCGCATGCATGTCTTCCTGGAGCTGCTTTTGCAAAGCAGGGGGGAGACCCAGACACTTCACAAAAATCCCAAAAAACCGTAAAAAACAAAAAACCCTTAAACAAAAACGAAGGTTCTGTTGCTGCTCTTGAGGAGCAGGCTTTTAAGACTTCAGCGGCTTGTGCTAGAGGTGAGGCGCAGGACCGGGGGAGCGCGAATCTTGGCCAGGGATCTGTAGTGGTTCCTAGTGTTGGCACTTCTCAGACAGGCGCACTGGCTGAGGCGCAGGGTCGGGGGAGTGCAGTTGCTGAGGGGCTTGTAGGAGCCCTGGGTTCGTCTTTGGCTAGGGAGTTGATCGCCCCTGCCAGCCTTGAGCATGTCGCTCAGGGAAATCATGAGGCTCTGGGACTTAGTGAGGCCTGGGTAGCGGGTCGGGGTTCCGGATGCTTGGGTACTAGGTGTGGGGCGTGTGATAAAGACTCTGTTGGGGTCTGCTCGCTCTGTGAGAGAGACGTGTTGTCTGTAGGTCGCTTTTTAAAGGCTTCGCCAGCGTCGCTAGGACATCCTGAGGGTGAAAGTTTCGTGGGCGGGGCGTGTGGCGGTGAGTCAGCTGGGCCTTTTGATGCCCCTGATGCTCATCAAACAAATGTTGCAGGGCAGGTGGAAGGTTCGGGAGTGTGCGGGTCGGTTAGGTCTGCAGGTGGTGACGAATCTCGGATCGCCTGTCTCAGTGAAGCTGAGTGTGGAGCGCTAGGCGGAACTTCGCTGTCAGGTAGTGGTTTAGGTAAGGTTGTCCCTTCCCTAATTCCCTTTTTTCCAGACACTTGGCAGTCGTATGAGTCTTGCGCGCTGGAGAGTTGTGAGGATGAGGGTTCGGTTTCATTGGGCCTTTGTCCGAGTGCAGTTGACCCTGACGTGTCACTTAAGTGCTTGAAAGAGTGGTTGAGTGACGAGGGCAGGTCTCAGTGTAGGCGGCATGCGGATGTGAGTCAACCAACGCAATTTGCTGACGATGACTTTGTTGATGACGCTGTAAGGCATGCCGTAGTTCGAAAGATCCTTGAGCTGGAGCAATCTAGCTGTGCCAAGGCTGGCGAAGAGCTGGTGTACAGTTTGTTGCCAGATGCTGAGGTTCTGTGCACGCACACGGTGCCCTTGGTTGAGGTAGAGCGGTACTATGGTCTTTGGAAGGATGCTCTTGAAAAGGAGCTGCATTCGATGACACATGAAAAGCAGGCTCTCAAGGTGATTTCTGAGGAAGAGCTGACCAAGTACCAAGAAGCTGGAACGCGTGCCATGGTCATCCCAAGCAAGCTTGTGTGCACCAGAAAGAGTGGTGGTAGATTCAAGGCCCGGCTAGTGGCGTGTGGCAACTACGTTGATCTTGGTGGCAAGGACGGTGAGAATCGGAGTGCAAGTGTGGACTTGTACGCCGGCGGGATCGACGCGGCAGTGCTTAGACAGGTGTTGGCGCATGCTGCCAAGAAAGGGTCATGGTCAGCTGGCACTACTGACGTCTCTACGGCATTTTTGAATGCTGAGCTTTTAGATCGCCAGAACCCGCTCACTAAGCCAGCTCCGCTCTCACAAGAGGTTCCGTCGGAAGTTGTTGTGCTCCGTCCGCCCTCGCTGTTGATCAGGCATGGTTTGTTGCCTGCGCGCAGCTTGATGCTTGTCCAGGGGGCCGTATATGGCCTAGATCAATCCCCGCGTGACTGGGGCATACGTCGCGACAAGGATCTGCGCACGATTCGCTTGATGCTTGACACTTGTGAGTATCGGCTTGTGATGTCGGACGTTGACAACAACCTGTGGTTTTTGACCACCGGCCGTAAGTCGGATCCTGTCGTGGCTTGCTTGATGGTGTACGTGGATGATCTTCTCGCTACGGGACCGCTGGCGGTGATCCGGCCGCTGCTTGATGAGATCTCAAAGCTCTGGCAGTGCGGCACTGTATCTTTTCTGCCTGAGGACACGTCTGAGGTGCCCTTGGTATTCTTTGGGTATGAGATCAGGCGAGTTGGTAGGAGCTTTCATCTCAGCCAGAGGGACTACGTAAAGGAGCTTGCTACGAGGTATCATGATCTTCCCGCTCCCTCTACGCCTCTTCCCCCAGGAACCTTGGACATACCACTCGCAGAGGAGCAATCAGCCAGCGACCTCAAACAGTGCCAGGCCATGCTAGGAGAAGCTTTGTGGGTTAGCACGAGAACGCGGCCTGATGTTTGCTTTGCGGTTTCTCGTCTTTCTCAGGCGATGTCCAAGAATGCAGCTGTAGTTAGGCCACTTTGCCTTCACTTGCTAGGATACTTGTGCCGTACCAAAGACTTTGGCCTCCTGTATACTGATCAGTATCCAGTTCAGGGTGAGCCAGGTTCGGTTGCTTCGGTCACTGGCAAGTATGTTGTAGAGGCTCAAACGGACGCAGCATTCGCGCCCACCTGTGAGAGATCGCATGAGGCCACAATGGTGTACACTGAGGGTTCATTGACGGGTTGGTTGTCAACTCGACAGCCATTCGTAGCGTCTAGCACAGCTGAAGCCGAATTGCTCTCTTTGACCACTGGCTTCTCGTACGGGAGGTCGCAGCGGTTCGTGATTGAGGAGGTTGAGGGGTGCAAGATAGATTTAAGGGTTCTCAATGATAACCTTGCAGCTACCACGATCTGCAACAGTCCGTCCACCAACTGGCGAACTCGCCACCTGAGGATTCGGGCTGCCCATTTGCGAGAGCAGATCAGTGAAGGGGAGTGCTCAGTTTCTCATGTTGAGGGTGCCAGAAACACTGCTGATTTAGGAACTAAGGCACTCCAGCCTCAGAGGTTCGAGATGCTTCGGGCCATGATGGGAGTTGTTAGCCTCTCAGAGGTCACTGCTCGTCCTGCAGCTGCCACTGTCTCGTCCGGTCCACCGGTTGAGGAAGCTCTTAGAGTCGTTGTCGCTGCACTTTGCGTGGCATCAGTTAAGGGTCAACCGTTGAGTGAGGGTTCGGATGATTTTGGTTTTTGGAGACTCATCTTGCTCTGGAGCGTGTTGGTGATTCTTGTCTGGGAGATCGTCAAGTGGGGCTGTCGGGTGAGCTGCCGGAGGTTCGTGTTACCGGACATGCCTGAGCCAGACTCAGAAGCTTCCCAATCTGAGCGGGAGCAGGAACCTGATGACGAGGATCTTTTGGTAGAAACTGATAGGCCTCAGGTTACCGCTGAGCCTTTGGATGAGGACCCTGGTGTGATGCCATTTCGGTACGCTGATGATGTCGTGTATCTTGTTCCTCGTAGGCCCACGATTGCCTATCATACTGAACCAGAGCAGCAGGTCCTAGAGCAGGCAGGGATTAGAAGACGTCACGCTTTGAGAGTTTATGCTCCCGAACCTGATGATGAGCCGTTGCCGCAAGTGAGAGGTGTCGGGTCCGATGATGTTCCTAGGGAAGCTGAGCGTGTCGTTAGGGTCTCCGACCTCGCGCCGCTGCCGAGTTTTCAGGAGGGGGGTCCGTTAAGGCGTCTGGTGGAAGCCAGGGAGCGGGCAGAGGTCCTGCAGGGGATGTTGAACATGCCCCCTATGGTACCTATCGTGCTTCACCCTTTTTGGCCTGCGCCACCACAGCTGACGGTGAGAGAGCTTCGGACAATGGCATCTGAGTGGGGTGGTCCTGCGAGTTCTCTGTATCAAGAGCCACATCCGGCTTACCACGGCGATCAGTACATCTACGTGCCCGATGTGAGACCACGAGTGTTGGTGAGATGGCATATGCGGCCGCGTGTGGGATTATTCCATCCGGAACAGGCGCCTACGCCAATTCCTCTCGGTGCTCTTACAGGACAGCGACGCACGCTGCAGGGATTTGCCAATGGGGACAGGGTCATTTGGGATGACCGCTTCACGAATCCAGATCCTGAGAGGCCACATGAAAATCTGCGGAGAGGACGCACAGAGCTGGAAGTAGACCCAGATGAACTGGCGAGACTCCAAGGGGGAAATGAGGACTCCGATTAGCTCTGAGTATGAGCTGCATGAGTGCAAACTGTATTCTGGTTCAATCCGGACAGATTGCAAGGCACCACGAATCAGATTATTTTTGGAAGTGATGGTCTTCCAAACTGCCACTGGGTACAGTTGGTGGCAGCGCGGTCACTGATCTTCTATGCGTTCGGCCAAGGCCGAAGGGGGAGAGCGGTTCCTGCGAGGTACGCACCTCATCGTCTGGGAGTCGCCGGAGTGTTGGGCGGAGATCCAGCAACTCTTGAAGGCTCAGGCTCAGGTTGCACTGCACGTAGCCAGAAGGACAATATCAGTTTGCAACTTATCAGACGAGTCAGACCGCTAAAACTCTTCAACATTCCAGTTGATCGGACCGTATGGCCAGTATCAGCAGCAACAAGAAAATTTTGTGAAGTTATGTACAGCAAGACTGCCTTGTGTTGCGTTGAGCCTGTGCGGTGGATAAAGTAGTGCTCCAAATTGCCACATCCCTAAACACTAGAACCCTAAACCCTAAAGCCATAAACCCTAAACCCTAAAAACTCGAAAACCCTAAAAGCCTAAACAACTCTTAGTTTTCAAGCCAGGGGCTTGATCAGTTGGGACATGCACGCCACCTCCGGCTCGACCTGTGCCAGCTTCTGGCTTCTTCTTAAGGGATTTAACTTACGTGACCATAATAGGGATCTATAAGGGTTCCTTTAATGAAGGGTTCCTTTAAGGGTATAGGGTTTAAGTTTAAAGGTTTAAGTTACCATAATGCGGATCTATAATAAGTAATTTGGTTTACGTATTAATATGGTACCTGAAGTTAAATCCCTGAACAAGAACCCAGGTCTGTGAGGTCAGAGGCTGCTCGGCTGTGGGTTGGAAAGCAACAGCACGTAAACACAGATACGAAGATACATCGACAGAAAAATTAGATAGATAGACAGTCAGACAGTCAGAATCAGACAGATAGACGGACAGGCATGCAGGCAGACAGAGATGCAGGCAAGCAGGCAAACAGACAGATAGGTAGATGGACAGGTGGATAGATAGATAAGAGGATAGGTAGATTGTAGATACATTGACAGACTGATGAACAGACAGACGGATGGACAGAGGACCGATGGATCTATGGATAGACGGATGGATGGATACACGGTTTCATGGACAGATAGATTCAGAGAGACAGACAGGCAGGCAGCCAGGCAGGCAAGGCAGGCCTAAAACACCAAACCCCCGAAAACCACAATCCTAAACCCGAGCACCCCAAATCTAAAAACCTCAAACCACGAAAATCGAAAACTCTTTTAAGCAAAACCAGATTTACCGGACCTATTGTGGAACAAGGTAGGAGTTGCAAAGCCTCAAGTGTACATGCACCTGCGGTATAGCAGTATAGGGCCTTAGCGATTAGAAATGCCTTCTTTTTTGAGAGGGGATGATCGTGTAACCATATATTCTACATAACCACATAGGGCCTGAAAGAGCAGAGGGTATACTGCTACTAGTTATTCCGACCTACACAAGTACACTTTAGGGCCTTTGGGGTTGCTGCTTAATTTCTGGGTAGGACCCGAGGGGACATCCGGAAAGTAAAGACCGTAATTAATATAGGGGCCTTTTTAAAAAAAAAATATAGGGGCCTTAATAATTGGAATAGGGCTTGGGGGGGGTGTATTACCACATATAATTATAGTAAGGAACACCCAAAACGGTATAGGCAACGATTAAGGCCCCTATGTTACGGCCCGTAGATGCAAACATGCGAAATTGCTCAACCTCGTGACAGACTGCTCAAGCTCATCTGAATACAACTCCTTTTTCCGCTTGATTCCTAGAGATCTCTGAAGCAAGTAACTCTCCGAGGTCGTGTACTTGGAGGATCATGGGACTTAGTAAGTAAGGTTATAAGTACCCTAATTGGAGTTATAAGTATAGTTACCTTATTTATAACCCTAGTTACTAAGTCCCATGATCCCCCAAGTAGACCCTAAACCCTAAACCCTTCAAGGGAAGCCTATGATGGAGCCCTGTACTATCTTCAAAAGGAGCCCTAAACCTCTCAGTCCCATGATCCTCCAAGTAGTTGGAGGGACTTAATGACCGACCCGGGCTTTGGGGTGTAATCCTCTCTTCTTCAACAACCGGGCCAGCGAAGGTTCAACTTTCTAAGGTACACCAAATGTATAAAGCCAAAAAGTTTAAAGTTCTTCCATTTGCTATCTATCAATCTAGTATTGCAAGGAGACCTTATGATCGATTACTCCCGTAACCCTCACAAATCCTCCAGAATCCCTCTAGAACCGTAAGCTCTGAACCCTAAACCCTGAACCCAAACCTTGAACCCTAAACCCTGAACCCTAAACCTGGAACCCTGAACCCGAAACCCTGAACCCTAAGCTCTAAGCCCTAAACCTTGAACCCTAAACCCGGAACCTTGAACCCTGAAACCGAAACCCTAAGCCCTAAACCCCGAAACCCTGCGCCGCTATATCAGGCGGGACGTGGGGCCTCGAAGATCTCGCCCTGGGAAGATTTCAGCGACAGCTTCTCGCCCTGTGGCGCATCCACACTTTCGGGGCTTCGTGATATTATGTAGGGGTTCCTAGTTTAGGGATACCTAGGGTGTAGGGCTTGGGGTTTCATGATATTATGTAGGGGCTCCTAGTTTAGGGATACTTAGGGTTTAGGGTTCTATATTATGATCTTATGTAGGGGCTCCTAGTTTAGGGATACTTAGGGTTTAGGGTTCTATATTATGATATTATGTAAGGGCTGGTAGTTTAGGGATACTCAGGGTTTAGGGCTTCGGGTTTCATGATATATCTAGGGGGTCAGGGTTTAGGGTTTGCATGGTGCTATGTAGGGGTTCCTAATTTAGGGATGCTTAGGATAAGGGTTTTATATCATGATATTATGTAGGGGTTCCTGTTTGGGGATTATTCGGACCAGGATCCCAAGCTTCAGGGTTCAATAACTGTATCGTTAACCTGGGCTGTTGTCTTACAACGAGGATAGCATTACCTGTTAGGGTACCTTGTTCTCTGAAATTATGGGACGCATGGCTTACCGAAGCCTTCATAGATGCTTGCTCGAAATTGCGACCTGAAGATATGTCGTACAGGGGAGCCTTAGCATCTGGCACGTCTCAAAAGCTGCCTCCCCGCTTGTGTGGGGCATCCTGCTGGGGTCATGTAGACCAATGATGGGCGAGTTTGTTGTGATACCTTAAACTGAATGGTAAAATACAAGTAGCATGGGCACCATAAGAGGATGTTGATACTTGTAGAATCACCCCTAGAATACATTGCATACCTTCCGGAGACACTTTCAATCTGCAAGCATGGTAAACACCTCGGAAACGCACAATTGTTTGCACCTATGCTGAAACCACTTGCCTACCTGCAGCTTCAGGGTCTTTCTTGCATTGGATGGGTTCCTAAGACGATTCAACTAAGCTCTGAGCAGAGACTTCGGGTTCCAGGACATTCAATCTCCTTGCCTGCTCTCTCGGTATCCTCAGAGTATCCCATGTGCATAGTATATGTAGGCCCTGGAACCTTTGAGTGCGGCTCACATAGGTTCCGAGCGACCAAGTCACGAGGAGTCGAAGGCGGAATTGTCAACCGAAGGGGCTCAGTTCAAAATACCACACTCGCAATCCGTAATCCTGATGAAGCGAAACTCACTCGCTATTTGGGGTTCCGGTGTTCGGACATGGGTAAGCGAACAGCAACAGCACTAACGACACCAGCAACAGCAACAACAACAACACATACAATAACACTGATGACGGCAATGATGTCCAGAAAACAGAGGTTTGCTACAGATCCGAAATAAAAACTAACCACCTAAGGACCTGCGGTGCTAAGGGGAGTATGCAGTCCTTACTGCCTGGCTTTTGTGGCTTCCGAACCCTGTGCTTGCATAGCTATAAGTGCGCCGAAGCCCATGTCAGGCAAAAATTCGTAGGCCTGGTGAGCCCTTGAAAAGGCACCGCATTTCGAAATCGAGCCTGCCGAAACAACACAAAGTATCTCATGCGGTAGGCTGCGCCTCGGCCATTTTGTAGTGAGTCCTGGTGACGGGTACTCTGACAACCTTTGTCACTATTGCAGCTATGGCTATTGATAGGCCAGCGGCACTCTGACTTTGTATGGATACACTTGTGTTGATTCTCTGCGATGCGGCTGCCATTGTTTGATCTTGTTGTTACTGTACATATTCCTGATGCCAACAAATAACTAGCTCTGCACTTTTGACCGAATCTGGATGTCACTTATGGTTGCTGATTATTGACATTGCCAATCCCGCTGTAATTCGTCAATCATACGCCACAACGACGAGGACGACGGCAACGGACTACCGCGAGTCCCTGACCTCTAAACTCTACATATGGCAGTTTCCGAAAATTAGGGGTACCCTATTTTGGGGTCCTTGTAATAAGGATCCTATACTATTTAGGGGGCTATATTAGGGTCCCCTGTTTTCGGAAACATCCATAAGCTGAGTTCATCGCCAGGCCATCCGGAAGGGTTGATACCGGGGCTGAGGGTTCCGAGCTGGGTTTCAACCCTTTTCTCTTGCAAAGCGGCCCAGAGCTTGCTGCGAAAGGGCACATGTACACATAAACAAACATATGCCAACAGAAACGTACATACATGTAACTACGCTTGTTTACTTTTGTATTGATTTATTTGTTCGTTCATGGGTACATACATCTTTGTATGTTGTATACATAGGTATATACCACTGTACATGCAGACATATGTAATCGTACAAGACCTACTAAAGGGCCGCACTGGTTGGCATGAAAAGTGGTGCTCCTATGCTCCTAATTGGGTCTGCGAAGTTGAGCATGCCAGAACCTGGAAAGTCCCGCTAGGTCAGGAAGGCTCCATCCCGAAAGGTTTCGGCAAGATCGGTGGACATGAAATTCACCCACCCGCCACTCGAAGACATGCTCGCCCGACCCCGTCCTGGGAGGCGTTGCAGAAACGTGGAGGTGCACACACGCTGTGAGCCGT